CTATTTTTACTTCTTGAAGAAAAGTTTTCTAATGAAATCTGTTTTCTCTTCTAGTTAAATAAAAAGAAAATTATCAAAAAAGAAGTTTCTAAATTTTAAAAGTAACTTTTGACTTTTCAAAAGTTTTATCAAATGGGCTCTTATCAAATAATCCATTATTTCAATCTTTAACGCACACGAATTAGACAACAAATAATTTTTATTGTTTTTATCGTGTTTAAAAATGAACAATTTAGCTTATCAAACAAACATATTCTGAATTTTAACCGATGTCCGCTAGAGCAGAGAGAGAACTCTTTCAACCTCTAAATAAATTGTTTTCTACTGGGAAAGAATTCCCTGGATTTAGTATATACACCCATACAAGAAAAGTTGAAAAAGTTTTTTGTAAGAATCTTCTAAACTATGACTTATTTTCAATAAAGGGTCGAACATAGAAAAGTTGTGCTCAAATTAACTTTTACGGATTTTAACCTTTGAGGAGTATTGATATATAAAACTTAAAATATAGAAAGGAACCAAAAAGATTGTACAAAGTTTCTGCTTGTCAGGAAGAAGAAAAGTATGCTTTTCTTCGAAGCTTAAAGATACAAAATCAGGCCTAACATGCAAAGAATACGTAAGTTTGCTTGTTATCAAACCCCTATTCACAGCCTATAATAAACCTTCCTTTCTTCCCATATATGCTTCTTCAGATAAACTCCAAATCCATGACATTATCAATCACTTCTGCCGCTGCAAGTGCCACAACAGGTTTCCTCTAAAAGAATGGAAAACTTGATTAGGCAAAGCAGGTAACTTGTATTATTTCATATAAGATTGCATATGTCGAATTCGACGAGCAGTAAAATTTTGCATTCATTGCTGACCACTCGTGTAGGTTAAGATATTCTGATACAGGAAAGGAACACAAAGAAGAGAGCAGCAGTGCAAGAGACAGAAAAATATCACCTCAAAAATCTCAATCTTTCCAAGGAGGTACCTTAATTTATTTCACATACGAAGTTTCGATGTGCTTTTATTATTGATATTTGAAATTCGACCAACTATTAAACTGACATAGATATAGATGGTTGAGAGTCAAAGAATTAGATACAATTCTATTGTAATTAAAGCAGAACTGATCTCCTGTCCATAGTGAGTGGTGTTGCCACATCACTAGTAAAGACAACATATTAGTTCTGGTGGTTAAAGATATTGATCAAGGTTATATGATGTCAAAGACACAATATAACATAATATAGAAAAAGAACAATTTTTTGTCAATTCCTATATTGCTACATGCATTGATTTGTGTTCAGTGGGAACTAACAATCTACATATGCTTCAAGAAACGAATGTAAACCATGTTTTGCAGAGAAAAAGAGAAGCGAGAGTTGGTTAAGAAGACAGTTTTCTAGACAAATGAGTTGGGATCGTGATTTTACTGAAAATATACTTGCATACACGACCGCGGTTGCAGCTGCTGCTTTCGCAGTTCATTCACTTGAAGAATCAAGAATTTGGGATCAGAACAAGACAGCAGCCTATGGCCCTGAACATGCACCCTCCACCAGGACGAAGGACGCGGCAGAAGTTCGAGGAATTTTACGCAAACGTACTGTTTCATTCTCAGGTATAAATTTGTTTATTTAAATTTAATCTTCAAAGTGCGTCTTCATTCATACGTGGAGGCTGGATTCACTTTTTATCAAGTCTGGCATTAACAAATAATTTTGTATTCACAAGATCAAGATGCCAGAATGCCTGGAAAGGAAGTTGTCTCTGCACCATCCTTTGAAAAAAAGCCAACTTTTGTTGATTCTCTACCTGAAAAATCAGTGCCTCGGAAGGCTGTTGAACCTTCCCAACCCATGGAACCGACTCGAACAAGGAGCAAAGAGCCTGAACGTGTGGTGGAAACTCAAACAAGTAGTAAAAAGCCTGAAATTGTGGTGCCGAAGCCCGAACTTCCACCCCCAACACCATCCACACCTCATCCAGTTGAAACCAAAGCACAGTATTCGCCGGGACCTAGAGACACAATGGCAGATGCTTGGGAAAAAGCTGAAATGGTTAGGATTGAAGAAAGGTACTGAATCATATCTAACTATATTTATACAGTTCAAGTTGCTGATGAATCCATTGACAGGTAAGAGACAGCCTGACGAATTGAAACATTCGTGCCTGGCTCCCACCATGGAAAATAGTTTTTGACGAAATTATATCTTCAATAATGCTCACGTGTTTATATCTCGTAAATAAAGTTTCTGTATAGATTTTAATGAACGACATTTCAGGTATGAGAAGATGAGAACCAGAATTCAAACCTGGGAGTCTAAGAGGATGGAAAAAGCAAGGCGACGACTAGAAAAGACAGAGGTTCATTTCATCACATCCTTGAACACTTTATGGTTCTTACATTACTGTAAAATACTGGACAATATTGAGGAATAAAAGAACCTAAAATCTTGTCAATTACAGTATAATATACCAAACATGTCCTAAGAACTGTGATTATTCGAGCTGACAATGAAGATAACAAATTTTCAGAATGAATTATCAGACAAGAAACGAAGAAAAGCCAATGAGAGGTACCGGAGTGACATTGCCAGAATTCAAGAGATAGCTGCAGGGGCAAGGGAACAGGCAAAGGACAATCGAAGAAACGAAGAGTTCAAAGTGAAAGCTAAGGCAAACAAAATCAGAGCAACTGGAAAGCTTCCACCAACATGTCTCTGCTTTTAATTTCCTTTCTATATCGAAATAAATGTGTATAAATGTACAGTTTACGACTGATTATTAAGAAACCAAAAGTCGCAATATTTTGTGTCAAAGTGGATATATTTATCATCGGTAATTTGGTTCAACATGGTATCAGAGCACATAAAAACTGTAAAACAGTCGATAAAAAGCAATATAACAATACACATTAAATAAATACAAGGCAAAGGTCTATTGGCCTATTAATGAAATCAGTGTTTCTTCAAGAAATCTCCAGCCATCTTCATATATTGTCCATATTCACTTCCTGAATTTCCATGACCTCCTCCGGAATGTGCCGATGAATGTGTATGATCGGTGAAGGTGTCGGTGGCTCCACCGCTGCCGCCAGAGTGATTCTTCAAAATACCTTCAGCAATCTTAATATACTCCCCATACCCTCCTTTGGAATGGCCATGATCGCCACCCGGATGCGCTGATGTATGTGTCGTTTCGGTGGTGGTGGTTGAGTGGTGTGGATACGTGGTAGTGGTGGTGGTGGTGGAATGAGAAGTATGGTACTTGTGGAGATAATTTTCAGCCTCGTCAACATATTTCCCCATGCCCTTGTTATCATCTAGCTTCCCATATTCTGCGGCGGCATTTAGGATGTCCGCCGCCGCACCGGCGACCTTGTGCTTGTCAACCTTGTTCTCTTCATGACGGAGCTGGGATTTTGCGGCTTCAGCCACCACCTTGGCGCTGTTCAAAAGCTCAGATTTTGATGGTTTTGGGTGGTGGTTTGGATTATGGGGCTGATCAGAGGTGGGCTTGCCCTTCTCATTTTGGTTGGAGAAGAAATCCATTGAGAAAGTGAAATCAAGAAGAAGAATGGATATTTTGTAGAGAGATGCAACGAAAATGGATTATCGAAGAGGATAAATTTGTGGGAGAATTGAAAGGGATGCGTGTGGATAAATAGGAGATTAGGAAAGGAGGATGAATGAAGCTTCCTTTTGCCAACGCGTCGTGATAACCACCACAGGAAGAGATTTGAGATGGATTGGACTATTCACACGATAAAATATCCCGTCCCATCTCGTTTCTTCCGATCTCGTCTCGTCTCGTTCTATCTCATCCCTGCATTCATCTTCAAATGCATTGGGTGAGACCTCTTTTTTTTTTTTTTTTTTCTTTTTTTTTTTTTAAATTTTACTTAAGAAAATAAAAATAAAAAATATTAAAATTGCAACTGGGTGGAAAATGGGGATATCTTAGTCCCCAGCACAAAACATTTTAATATCATAAGTTAATGTGCCTCGATTTGTACAGATTATGAATTCAATGAAATATGTGATTAAAAAATAAAATTTGATCAACTTATTAACTCACGAAAGTTTTGTCAAATGGGGATTTAATTTTTGCCATGTACTCATCCCTAATCATGCCGAACTAGTCGAGTTGAGTTGCATTGATCCAATTTTATTGATTTCAACTTCTTTCAATTTAAATAGATCTAGAGAAAGATCAGATTTGGCTAAGCCACGATACAATAGGGTAGTTTAAACCACTAGATTTGGATTAAAGTACGGGTACTTGGCTATGAGAAAATTAAAATTGAGGTGACTTTAAGGCTAATTTACGTGTAAGGAAAATTCTACTTATACACAATCGTTCGATTGTTGATGTGCAAATATGAGATTTAAATTAAAGGTTGGATTCAATACCACGTATAATTATGGATATCATTATGTAGACAATTATGTACATATAGCACTTTCGTATCTTGTAATGAATAAATAGGAACATATTAGAATATTAGTAAATCAACTATATTTTTAACGAGAAAAGTAACTTATAATTTGAAACATACCATAAAAATAAAAAATAATAATAAATAAATAAATGAAGTTTCAAAGGCAACGTGCTTTTGGCCCGGCAACTCGTCTGTTGGATGTTGGAACACGGTTTATACTTGCCTACGTTAACAAACAGACGCGGCATCCAAGGTTGACAATTTTAGTACTTTTTTTCTTTTTGCTTTTTGCTTTTTTCTTTTTCTTTTTCCTCCTGAACTTTCTTTCCAAATTTTTATTTTGAGATAAATTCAGTATGGTTGATCGTTTTTAGAAAAAAATAGGATTGAACTCCTTACATGGTATTATTACAGGTTCCCCAATCTTTAAAAAAAAAAAATTGATTTTGATCAAGAACCTACTTAAATTTGTAAGTTCGAATTTTTCTACTACTGAAATGCGACTTTCAGTTGAATCCATTAAAAAATGTCAAGTGGTTTGACAGTCGTACCATTTAGTTTTATATTATCGTGTAATTTTAATGTATACATTACGATTCTATTATGTGGACATCCGGATTCACATATTTAAATATGTTAAAGGACTCCATTATTTCAAATTTTAATGAGTAGAATAATATTTTTTTTTGGAAAATAGGTGATTGAAAAAGGAAAAAAAATCAATTTATATGTAATATTATTTTATGAAAGACTATCCAATTAAAAATGGAAAATAAAAAAATAAAAATTAATTTAATAGAGACCAGACGGGGGAGAAATCTCATTTTTGAATGTTGGGATCAATAACCATATTACATGAACTTCAATGGTAATTGAAGTTGCATAATTGCTTAGAAAAGAATTTGTTGATGATAGGGAAGCTTAACCATAACGTTTCCATGGGTGACTACAAAATTTTCAAAAGAGTTATCACTGAATTTAGCGTGTGGTGGCTGACACGCAAATCACGTTTGATTCGATCATGCCATGTCATGAAGGTTAATTATTCAAATGGCCAAACTTGTGAGAAACTGAATATTCTTATAAGGAATTCGATGAATATAAAACGATATTTATTTATTTATTTATTTTGAGAAATCCTCGACCAAAAGCATACACAATCCTTTTTTGGTTTAAGAATCCCTTTCTAGTTGTTCTAGAACAATTAGAAGATTTTCTAGAAAAATTATGGAGTTCTGTTTCTAATGGCAACATGCTTGATTTTTCTATTTTGAGTCGTTTAACAGTATTTTCGTCGTTTTTGCAATTTCCTAGTTGTATTCAGATTTGTCTACCGAAGTAGAGTTTTGCTTTGATGCTTAAATATGCGTGAAGGGTTTGTAAATCCTACAATCATTTTTTGAACAATGATATTTCAGTTTTCCATTATCTAGTAAATTCCAGTATTTCTCACGTCATTTCAATCGAAATTCAAGTAACACCCATTTGTGTGTTACGAACGAGACCTTATCATTGTTCATGTTTTTTTATTGCGCTAGATACATAAATTAAATTCTAACAAAATCTTAATTTAAGTGATTTAATTGTACAAAAATAAAATTTAGCAACTCCAAAAAGAAAAATCTTACAATGATTGCAATTATAATACCATGGAAATAATCTACCAAATCCGAGAGATACAAGAATCTCCCAATAATATGAAAATATTTCTTTAAAAGTGTCACATCGAGATTTCGGACAATCTCAATAGAATGAGCACATAGTTACACTAGTCAAATACAACTTCTATTATAAAAAGGGACCCCAAATCTATTTCCCTTAACATGATTTGAAGATCAAGGGCTCACCTCATAGGAGAGAGCTTGAGAACACATGTGAAGTGGATTGGCTTCGTACAAGCCAAGTTGATCCAATGCACTTGTGTTCTCATGTTGCCCATTTGATCCATCCCCTTTTGAAACTTACTTAAGATTTCGAGTTGAATTTTGCCTAAATCTTTCGTTCACCACAATAGAGAAACATGTCATTATTAAGAGTAAGGAATTCTCACTATTCAAATTGAACTCGTCTATTTCTTTACATCATCAAGCTCAAGTTATGATACTCGTTCGTAGTTGCATTTTTTAAAATATGAAGTGTTACTTGATAATTGATTATCGAATTTCATTGTCCATTTCAAGAAACGGGTGGGGGTAAGGGCCTGGGCTATAGCCCAACCAACACTCTTGGCCTATATCAAGAAATACTTTGGAGAATCCAAAGTGAGAAAATAGAAAAATAAATGATTAAAAATTTATATCTCGATTCAGAGAGAGAGAAATAAATAATTGTTGCAATTATAAAGTAATCATAAAAAATAAATTAATTGTAGTAAATGAATTTTATTTAGCCCTGATTTGGTAAGAATTAAAATTTATATTTTAATCTAATTTAAAATTCAAAATTAATTTTCATCAAATATTTCATGGGATCCACAACTGTTCGACTACACATTTTATTAACTTTTATTTAAATTTACAACAAAAATTTATTTTAATCCCCATCAAACAAAGACTCATGGTCTGTTTGATAGTGATTATGAGAATTGATTTTTTTATAGTTAGAGAGAGAAGTAGGTCCCCCTGTAAGTGAAGAAGTCAAAATGACGATCGAAATAGTCAAGAAGTCAATTTTTTGAACGAAAAACTTCTATCAAATGGGGGCTTAATAAGGACAACTCCCTCATGTTGGATCTCACAAAAGTGGTGCTCCAATTTAAGGTCTAAAATAATATCCATGCTTAAAAAGCGTAAATAATCTGTTTCAGTGCTAGTTTTATCAATTTCCCTATTTCGTTTGGTCAGCAAAAAGGGTGAATCTCCATTTTATTTTTATTTTTTTTAATCAAGGAAGGGTCTGGGTCGGGGTCCCTAACCTTTTTCGATCTACCATTTGTTGTAATTATATTTTCAATATTTTATAAACTGGACACCCACATTCCAAACTAATGAAAAATATTTATTTGAATGTTAAATGACCACGTTAAATTCACATGACATCAACCCAAAGCATAAAACTTGTACAAAAAGTCGAACAATAATTTCAACATTCATTTAAAAATTCGAATATGGTAAAATTCCTCAATGTTCATGAAATATATTCCCTTGCTTTAATCCATCCTCGATATTACGTGAGTGTCACGTAGTCGTGTAAATTTATTTTTTTTTTTTATTATAAATTGGAGACATGGGTATCACTCTTAAAAGATTAGAGATTTGGATGCAACAAATGATAAATTGAAACATAAGTGCCACACTTATGAACAAAAAAATACCCGTGTATATTTTTCATTTCCGCAGTTATATCTTTAAAGAAGGCAAAATAATCATTGCAACAACCAATGCCACTATGATTATGATTTGTAATATGTTGGTAGCATCATAAAATCTTCATTACCCCATAAAAAAGTATCACAAAAAGATATATTTATACTTAGTTTATTTACATTATTTATCTATGTATTTTCCCCTCTTTTAGCTCAGCAGCATCTAGTTCACATTTTAGTTATATCTACACCATCAATCAATTGCTTAAAGTCAATTGGAAGCAAAGGCACTTGACATATATGTGTACCCACTACACCAACTTGTTTATTTGTGTACTATATTTATCATGACTTGCCATTAAGAATGTAATTCAACTTAATCTATGTCAAATTGTAGCACTTAGTCTTCAAAGAAACCAAGTCCTATTTTGTGGGTCCCACAAATCGTGTGATTAAAATTAATTTTTGATTTTAACTTAGATTTCATCAACTTTTAAACTTTGATTAGTTATCCAAAACATTTTTTTTTTACAATAAATTTGGAGTCGACTGCACGTGTTCTTCTTCATTATCTTGTATATTCATAGATGAAATATCCAATATTTTATCATTCTCAATAAATTTAGAGTTGACTTTGTATATATATTGCTCGATTCGTTGCCCGAAGATTAGTGCTTCAAAGAAAGAAGGATAAGGCAACACATTTAGTGCAACTTGGTTTTCAAGTGATGAGAACCAACCATAAGATACCCCATTTTGACAAAGCTGGTGAAAATACAAAGCACTTGAGAAATAAAACAAGCTGTTGAACAAAACACTACTGCATTAGTGGCTTTTTGTCATGTCTATAAATGCCTTAGCTTTTTAAACTCAATGTCATTGCCATTCACAGTAGTATCAAGAAACAAGCATTCCCATTGGCCTTCCATTTCACATAATAACTCGATTCTTCGACTTGCTTTAACATCATGGCCCGAAACTCTACTTTACTTGGTTTTATGTTCAACTATGCACCAAACATGTATTCAGTGGTTGACTACTATGATGTACTGACACGGACACCTGTTGAATACGTTGATATGCAATTTTTCAAAATTACGTGATTCACACCATGATTTGGTTCTTTAAAATTCTTTATTTATATAGTATAAATATTAGTAATTTTTCTTGTTGAAATCTTTAAATATGAGTACATATTTGTTATGCACTAATAATTTTGAGTTAAAAATATATAACCCTGTTAGGTAGATATTAAAATTAGATTTTGATAAATAAATAAAAATTGAAATTTGTGGTTGAAAAATTGTGGGATCCATAAAAGATGTTAATATTGATTATTTGATTTTGATTGATTGTTTGACTTTGATTTACATTAAAATCTGATTTAAATCAATACCAAACAAGAGTATAATATATTTAATAAAAAAAGAAAAAAGAAAAATGATCATAATAGAGTGTTTAGGAGTGTCGGAATCCAACACGTGTCGGACATGGATGTAATATTTTTAATAATAAAAAAAAAAATGAAATATGATCATACCCTGGTTGAAGCTATTCCTTCTATTACAAGAACTCGAACATAAGCTTAGTGGCCATTGGGTTAAATCCAATAATCCCACATCTTGTAAATGATATCAAGCTTTGATTAGTTATACAAATTATTGTTTTCTTTTTCTCTTCAACGTGTTGTGTGAGATGCAGGCTGAGTTGACTCCAGTGAATTCAAAAGCCAGGGGTCAGATTATGATGCAAAAAGGTAACAGACATGGAGTGCCAAATACTTATAATATATGCTTCAACTTTACTTACCTTTTTCTTTTTGGCAAAGTCAAAGCAGAGGAACTTTTGGTGAAGGTAAGGTGAATTTGGACAATGATTTAGCCTCCGTTTCGGTTGAATATAAAAACATGTTTTACGGGAAAGAATTGGGTAGCACTTGACAGTTTCAAGAAAGAAAATAAGTTAAAATCTTGTTCATCATATGTCATTCCTATATAGTAAAAATGCACTAATGGAACTCTGTTGGGGAGCATTTCTGGCTTGCTTTTGCTTGGTTCCTTGACAACGACAAGCTAAGCCTTATTACCCGCAAACTTAGGGTCGACTATATGAATCTTTTCTGCCACTCATTGGCCCGGGGCATGAAGGTCTGTCTAGGAAAAGGAAATGGGAGTGCGATGAAAGATAGGATCAAATGGACCACATTGCAAGATAATGTTCTAAAGCAACTACAAGCAAAAAGTAGATCTGGGCTATGAAGATGATAATAGTGAAATGAAACACCATACTACCTGGTAAAGTAACTCAAAAGCTTTCAGATTGGGGGGGACAAGGGAATGGCGATCAATCCTTTTAGTTTCGAGTAGGGAATAAGAGGCATAGTCAAGTAAAATGTAGCACCATAACTATATTACCTGGTAAAGTAAGACTTATGATAACTCAAAAGGTTATGGGGAGGTGAATGAGGAAGCTTTAATTAAAGCTTTCCGGTTTGAGTAGGGACCAAGTGGAATAGTCGAGTGTGATGTAGAAACATACTAACTAGTAAAATCCACAAATCAACATACAAAATCTAATGTCGCCATTTCTGTGCCTGCTATTCTTGAGTTTCTGAAGGTGAGCCATTTTTTTTCCTCCTTCTGATTGATTTCCATAGCAGTGTAGTTCTTCGAGTTAGTAAACTTGGCACAACTGGCTTCAGCAACTTCAAATTGCATAACTTAAAGGAATTGAATTATGCAGCTATGGTTAAGTACATTAGTCATTGCTGATAATCTATGAAAAATTAACTGCAAATATCAATGTTTATAACGAAAATGATAGATGAATTTAAAGTAAAAAAATCGAGTCGACATGAAACAAAATTAATTGCAATTCCAGCACCATCTTTGATATCAGCAAACAGTGCATAATGAGGATAATTGTCCATCAGGTTATCCGAACTGCTGTGGAAGAATTGGCAGCACATCATCCTCATCCTCCGCTGGAGCTGGAAGATTAAGATCAAGTAAATTGGGAAGATCGGGCTTGATTTGTTGAATTTGATTGTTTTTCTTCCAGTGACCACTGATAAGATGAGATCTCTTGTGCCCCCCTAAAGCCTGGCCATTCTTGTAAACCTTGTGGCAGAATGGACATATGTGCACTTTGTTTTTCTTAGGCTTAACTTTTTTCTCCGAATTGTTGGATGAATTTTTAGCAATTGGTTTCTTATTGCTAACTAATCCACATTGGTTACGTGCAAATCTGATATCAAGAGAGTTGTCGTCTAGGTTGTTTTCACTAGTTTCATACTGTGATTCAGAACGAACATTGCTTCTTTTAGGGCAGGGTCTATGGCCTCCAAGAGCCTGATAAGAGTTGAAGGTCTTTTTACAGTTCAAGCATTCATATTTACTTCTCGTCTGAGCCTTATTGCGTACTTGTGAAGAACCATTCTCCATCTTCCTACTCTCAGAAATATACTCCTTCCTTCGTGATTCAATCTTCGCAGAATTCCAAGTCATCCCATATTCATGTTCCTTCATAAATTCTTTCCCTATCTCTGTTTCAAAATGCTCGACTCCAAACAAGTTCTTCCTGATACATAGCTTCTTGGAATCATTAAAAGAACTGTTTCTAAAGAATCCATCAACTGATACATCAGAGTCAACCTTAGAACATTCATCTAAGAAATAACCGGAATCTGAATTGTCTGTTTGAGCAATGTCATCATCCAAAGCGATAGCTTTTGATTTCCTATCAGCGATTTTCTTCATTTGAGGAGTCTCATCTACATTGTGAACATATTCTAGGCATTCGCTTCTACAAATTTTCGTGTCAATGGACGAAGATTTGGTCTCGAGAACAACTGAATTATTATCAGAAAACTCGACCATTGAATTCACCTTCCCAGAATCCCTGGACAACATCATTAAACACAAGGCTACATCCTCTTGTTCAGAAACAGACGAAGAACCATTAGCTAAAGAAAAAGAAGATGACTTAACAAGTACATTCTTGTACCTCTTACTCTTTACAGATCTTGTTCTCAGCCTAGAATCCTCGACCTCAGTATCCGAATGACTGTCCATCACTGTCCAAGAATTATCGTCCTTCGCCGAATGACACGCCATATGACCACACAATGCTTTCATTGATTGAAACCCTTTACCACATTCTTTGCAGACCTTATCAGGTGGCAAGGGAGAGGTCGAATCGACAGCCCTCCATGTTTTCTTGGGATTTCCTCTTAGAACATAACTTGATTGCCCATTTCCAAATTCGACAACCTTTGACTCTTCGACGAAATTCTTTCCACCACCATTAACAAACGTCATCTTTTTCATGTTTGCTTCAACTTTTTCCTCTGATTCCGCAGAATTAGAAATTACACGATTCACTTCCATTGAATTACTCGATCCACCAACAAAAACCCAATACTAAAATCAAGAACAGCAAGAAATCGTTTACCCAAATTGTAAAATAATGCAGAAGTTCTTGATCCAACCCCACCCAAATAGTTCAACAAACAGAGGAACAAAAATAAAAAAAAAATAAAAAAACCCAGATCAGAAAATAGAATTAGAGTATAAAACAAACTTGAGAAAGTTCAAATCATGTATGTGGGATTGGGTACAGATCATAAAATTTATAGCTTCATATGCCCAAGTGATGCAAATAGGATCAGATGTGACAGTTTGTGGAATCAAACTCAGAACGAAAGGTAAACCCTCTTAATTCTATTTCCATGTATTCTCACTCAGTCACAGAGAAACAGGTATATAAATGATCACCGTTTCAAGATTTTGAAGAGTTCAACTTGGAAAGATAAACTTTTGAACAGATAAAGAAATAAAACAGAAGCAAATGACTTTTTCTTCCCTATATTTCTCCTTCTCTCTCATTAGGTAAATATTCACACTTACTCCTCTCTCTTTTTCTTGTTTGTGTGTCATAAGTGGAGCATTTCATGCATGGAAGCAGAATCAAAAGAAGGGCTGCACGTGTACTTAAAAGAGTCGAGTTCGTCGGTCCAAATCTAACGGCCAAGATCTATTAGATCCATAGAGTACTATTTTCAAATCGGTAAAGAAACGCCTTACACCTAACCTAAAAAATACATATATCTATATTACAATTTTCCCATATCAAAACTCTTATGGGTTTTCTTTAAAGTCTATTTGATGCAGATTTTTCAAGAATAGAATTTGTGAAAAATGATTTTATTTATTTATTCATTATTTTTTTTTAAAGTGTGACTAAAAAGTAGGAAAAAGTTATTAAGTTATGTAAAATATTATTTTATTAATAGAATGAGTGATCGAAAATGAATTTGAAAAAAAAAAGAAAAAAAAATTAAAGAATGAATGCTAAAGTGGAACTTAATTAAATGGATTGTTGAAACGTTAGGAGATTTATTTTCTCATAAGTTTACTAGTCAAAGCTTTGTTATGGGACGTTTTAACTTGGAAGAGTCTTTGGGAAAGGTTGAATCGTATAGTCAAAACTTATGATTAATATGGGATTTTCCCTTAAAAGTATTTAAGCACTGCTTTTTGTACAGAAAAAAAGTTTACAGAAGGCTTACAGAATACACATAATGAGGGGGTAGGTGGGATTTTTTTGACAATATTTTATTTATATGGGGCTCACCTTCATGTGAGTATCTGTAATAATTTTGTGAAGGGTCATTCTGTACAAATGAAAAATTTCAAAGGATTTTTAGAACCAGATAGCTCAAAATTTATTATGTTTGGTAGGATTAATTGGACAGTATTAAAATGGAGATATAGTAATAAATTCGTGATAAAATCGAACAAAAATTAGGTGTACAAAGCTACCAAATCATCTGTTCAAAAGACTCATGGTCTAAACTCTAAAGGATGCTTTTTCTGTAAGTCCATATTTGGCTAAGTTTCAAATATTTACCTATATAAGTAAATACATTTTAAAATAAACTGTCAAAATTAGAAATAATTGTTTATTTTGAAAGGTATTATGCTGTTGTACCAGGATAAGCAATTAATGTTAATTAAGTTTTTTGCTTATTTTGAAAGGAATTTTACTTTTATTTCATTATAAGCAACTATTTTAATTTTATAAGAAAGATTAATACATTCAAAGTGAGTGTTGGGCTAAGTTTATATATTATTATCTTAAAATATGATGGGATCAACTACTTAAAAGTATTATCTTGCTAGCAAAATGCTTGAAAACAAAATGTTACTTAAAAGTAAGAAAAATATAAGCCAAACTTAGAAAAAGTCTTTCAAAAAAGAGGGTCTTTATCATTTATTAAATTACCAATTTTTTTTTTTTTTGCCATTAGGCTGTCATTTATTTATTTATTATTATTATGTTAAATGTGAGATCCAACCAATTGTTTTGTTCAAGCTGTTACAGATTAAGCACTCTTAAAACAAATAATAATGATTAGTTTAATTACCTATCTGTAAAATTCATGAGTGTGTCTGTAATAGGAAAATAATTAAGTTGACAACAATGTTGATATGGTATGATAATGAAAATGAAATGATAAAGAGGAAGAGGAAGAAAGAAATTAAGTAATTATTAATGTTAATATAGTGCATGATGACTTTGAAATTATCACTTATTTATACGTGTTATGTAGGGAGTGTCAAAGGTCCCATAGGGAGACCGGATTTCAATTCCAAAGAATAGCTTCGTTGTTTTTAATGATCGCGATCGCATTAAAACGTTCGCGGCGTGCGTATGAGTGTTTTGAATATGTATAGCAAGCTCGACTTTCAAATTTGATAATTATATGAATTAAGTAATTATGTGATGACCTTGAAACTATTACTAATTTATACCTTGTCATGTATGGAGTGTTGAAGGTGCTTGGACGAATATCATATTTTCAATTGCAAGTAGTACCTTCGTGGTATTTATGATCTTGATCGCATTAAAATATTCTATATATATATATATATATATGTGTGTGTGTGTGTGTGTGTGTGTTGTGTATAATTTACATACAAGTCTGGATATGGTCCTGTTCTATTCAATTTTAAATTTTGGATATTTAATAAGTAGAATCATTGGATCCAAATTTAATTATAGACGGATTCGATTTTATTTAGTTCCGTTCGGTTTTCAGGTTCCATAGAATGATTAATTTTTTTAATATTTACAACAATGCTATATTAAATCAATTAATGAGATGTTAGATCTTAGCTCTTACAAAACAACATAGTCTAATCCCGTGATATTTTTTAAATATCTTTTGTTGAGTTATTTATAGATTTGACTGTTAAAATCCTCTTTCTATAACAAGCTTACAATAATGAAGAGAGGCATAGTCGAACTTTTAACTCGATTTCTCGATAACGGCAAAAAGGCACTATGGTAAGATGAGAGATTTAGGTAAAATTTAGTCAATTTGATTGAGTTAGATTTGGGTTGAAAATTAGAAATTGGAAAATTATATTTTTGGGTTTGGACTAAATTTATTAGTTATCAGATTTATTTAGAAAAAAAAATAATTTGGCTTATTTAGGGCATGTTCGGTAGTGATTATGAGAATTTATTTTTTGATTGTTAGAGAGAAAAGTGGATTCCACTTGTAAGTGAAGAAGTCAAAGATGATAGCTACAGTATTGAAACAACGGCCAAAAATTGATTTTTTTGGTGTGAAAAATTACTACCAAATGAGAGCTTAATATAAAAAAAAAATTAGGAAGATTAAATTCTTATTCGGTTCTTTGTGGTTTAGAACTCAGAATTGAACCGAATCCATCAATTTTTTATTCAAATACTCGTTCGGGTATTTAACTTAATAAGAATCCCTTGGTTCGATTTGAGAGTTTTGTCGAACCCTACATACAATTTATATTTTTCTTTGTATTTCGAGTTAATTTTCAAGAGGTAAGATGATTTTGACCATCCAAACTCAACATATTCCTTTGTCTTTCAAATGGTTTGGACAAATGCCTGCCTATTAAAACACGCAACTAATTACATGCTTTTTTAAATCCTATACGATCTTGCATTCCCTTCTCCCCACTTATCGATTTCTTCTCACCGTCGTGGATCCCCACGCCTAACCAATTTTAAAGGGGTGGTTTAGTAGTCATTGTAAGTGCAACTTGAAATAAATTGATATAATTATATTTTTTTCTCAAGTTTTTAAATAAATTTCTTGATTTGTCAATTAAAATAGGAGTAAATTACATAATTTTTTTTATAAAATTTATAATCATTTATTAGAAACTTTTATGAGGTTTACTTTTCTTCACTGATTCCCCTCAACATAAATGTACATTTCCATTTTATCCATATATACTAATTTGAAATTATTATTTTCTTTTGTTTAAATTATATTATTTCTTTTTTTTCTAAAGTTATTTTTCTTTCAATATTATGATACTTTTAAATAGAAATACGATGATAAATATTACTACTAATTATGTTTTAATTCCCATCCGGCTCATCTAGAGGTGGGTGCAGGTCAGTTCAGTTCTAAAGAGAATCGAACCGAACCAAAATTTTCGGGTATTTAATAAATGGAACCGT